ATTCAAATATACACGAAAAACTGGAATGTATCTGCATTATAACACTGGTATTTGGTTCGATAACTTGTTCCACGCCATTCGTTATACAACCTCTTCCGAAGCTTGTCGGCACTCATGAGGTCCATCGGGGATTACAAGCCAATGACGTATGACCTACCCACTTTGGATAAGAATGCAGCAAGTACACGTATATACGAACAAACGGCTTATATCGGATTGCTTTTAATCATGTCACTAGATATGTGGGTGCCTTTGAGTGCTATAAAACCTGATGGAAGGCGAATAATATGATGCCACCACATAAGATACCAACACACGCTTAAGACAGTTATCATCATGTCTACTCAGTCTATACCATCAACATTGCCTCTACAAGGCAAGGTTGCTATAGTCACAGGCGCTTCGCGAGGAATTGGGGCTGGCTTGGCGTTAGAGCTGGCGCGAAGGGGAGCAAAAGTCAGTCCACCAACTTTGACCAAGTCAATCAAGCCGCTTACATATGTGACAGGTCACCCTCGTATACACATCTCCGAACAGCGGAAATCTAGCAGAAGAGATTGCCTCGAAGATCAAATTACTTGGCAATGGTAGCGATTCGAAAATCGTTCAAGCTGACCTCAAACAACTCGACGCACCTGAGAAGATCGTGTCGGCGACTAGAGAAGCGTTTGGTGATAAGATCGATATCCTCGTCAACAACGCTGGCGTTTTGTTTGACAGGTCCATCACGGCAACGACAGCAGAAGACTATTCCAGCATATTCGATGTCAACGTCCGCGCACCTCTCCTTCTCACAGCCGCCGTAGTGCCCCATCTACGTGCACCAGGCCGCATCATAAACATGTCGTCTATAGGTGCACGACTAGGTATCGCCAATCTGACTCTCTACACTGCATCCAAAGCAGCGATTGAAGGCGTGACCCGGAGCCTGGCACAAGAGCTAGGCATTGCAGGGCATACAGTAAACGCTGTGGCGCCGGGTCCCACAGAGTCGGAGATGTTGGACAGTGTACCAAAAGAGGTCGTGGATGTCCAGTTGAAGCAAACTGCTGTCGAGAGAAGAGTTGGCACTGCGGACGATATCGCAAGAATTGTGGCCTGGCTCTGTAGCGACGACGCGAAATGGGTTTCGGGTCAGACCATCTCCGCGAGCGGTGGTTTCCTGAAATTGTAAACGCGTCTGTCAATGTTTGGCAATAAAGCTTCTTGTTTGATATGGAAGCTTGAAGTGGATCTCATGGTGTCTGGGTTCTAAGACCGGAGATGTTTGGACGGGAATAGATCGGATTTAGTTGGTACACGGGCAAGCGACCGTTCAAACAAACATGCAGAATACAACCGAGCGAGTACACATTTGTGCGGAAGTCGATGACGCCACAACCGTTGGATGGTCGATATTTGAACATGCATGCTTAGGGGTTGTCTTCTTCAAATTGTGAAAAGAAACTGATATCAAGACTTCTTAGGTGGGCTTGAATAGTCGCAAGCTCCAGCCAAGACGTACGAGCAGCAGTGCATCCATCTCTTACAGCTGTCACTCTCAGCCATGCCGCAAGATTATCGTGCGCCATCGAAGCTTATGTCCAGATCCACATGGGAACGCGGTCGAAAGCCGTCGGAGGCTCGGAGCACAACGTGGAAGTCGTAAGGTGAGCTAGCATCGGCAGTTGAGCCTCAACGCACCGACCAGGGGCTGGATGGAGGCGCTTCACTCTAACGCACTAGGTTTTAGCCTACCACGTCCCAAACGCCTCTCAAACGCCTCGCTCTGCCATTTCGCATGGCGAAGACTAAGATGCATGGCCATTCACGTTTCAGAGCTGAAGCTTGGCATAGGCCTAGCCCTAGCCACGCCATCTCGCGTCCCTAATTGGCCATCATCCCGTTGCGATACGCGCTCGTAGACAGCGGATCTTACGGTGTCGCAGCTTTGCACTGCAGAGCCATGGAAGATGGTTCGACTTCTGCTACCGTTTCGCTCTTTGGGCCCTGGATTGCCCATCCTCCCGACTATCTGACGGACTGATACCCTTTACCCACTTCGCTAATGGCAAAGCTGACCTGACCTTGTCCTAACCCCCGTCGTCGGTGCCGCTTCTTCCTCTGTTCGCCGCAACGTTGGCTTATAGGCTTTTGTTTCCCCTACTCACCCCAAGACTCGATCGATTTCATGCCGGTGCTTCTTTAGCCGGGTGACTGAACGCCTCTTCTTGTACTATTTCTCTTCTTTTGTGCGGGCACTCTTAGTAAGTCACTTCATTCTTTTCCTAGGGCTTCTCGTGCTGGTGTGTCGCTGTCCCTGGTGGCTTCGATCTAACCTCTGCACAGATTACTTAGACACTCATTGAACTTGTTGCTCCACTTCGGCCAAATTCAGCAGGTCTGAAGATCATCGGCATCCACACCAGTCATTCAATTGCTGCTACATTCGCTCCACCCAGCAGCTATGTCGTACACCACCAGCCTCACAGGTCGCGAGCGGTCAAGATGGCCACCGCTGACGCGCATGCTCATGTCCGGAGAGATGTCGGACGAAAAGGCGCGAGAGTTGACCCGGAAAGAGAAATTTGACGTGTGGATGGTCAACGAGGGTTACCGAAGATTGTAGGTCACAGCACCAGGCCAAAGAAGCAAATCGACTAACGTACCAAGCTTTGTGTTCACCTTTGCGATATTGCACGTCATGGTCTTCGTCTTTGGTATGATGAACTATGGACTGAAGGATAACTCTATTGGTTCAAGGAATCGCTTTGGTCTGACCTTCCCCATTGCTCGTTCGGCCGCTCTGGTGCTCCACGTCGACGTCGCTTTCATCCTCTTTCCAGTATGCAGGAACCTAATTTCTATGGCCCGTCGTACGCCGTTGAACGACGTAATTCCTTTCGACAAGAACATTACCTTTCACAAGCTGGTGGCCTGGTCCATCGTGTTTTTCTCCTGGGTTCATACTATCGCCCATTGGAACAATCTCGCCCGATTTTCGGCAACGAACGACCTAGGATTTATGGGATTCATCCTAGCTAATCTTGCGACCGGACCTGGATGGAGTGGTTACGTCATGTTGATTGCGCTCAACGCGATCGCTATTACAGCTGCTGAGAAGGCTCGTCGCGCAAACTTTGAACGCTTCTGGTACATGCACCATCTGTTCATCATATTCTTCGTCTTCTGGTCGATCCATGGAGCCTTCTGTATGATTCAACCCGATTTTGCGCCTTTCTGCGATGGAATTGGTGTCTTCTGGGAGTACTGGATGTACGGTGGATTTGCCTACCTGGCTGAACGCATTGCCCGCGAAGTACGTGGACGACACAAGACGTACATCTCCAAGGTCATTCAGCATCCTAGCAACGTTTGCGAGGTCCAGATCAAGAAGGAGCATACCAAAACTCGTGCTGGACAGGTATGTCGCCTCCCTATTCGAACATGATCGTATGCTAACGACGACAGTACATCTTTTTGTGCTGCCCTGAAATCTCCATCTGGCAATACCACCCCTTTACACTTACCAGCGCACCTGAGGAAGACTACATCTCTGTGCACATTCGTATGGTCGGAAACTTCACCAAAGCCTTCGGTCAGGCCCTTGGTTGTAGCACGGAGAGGAAGCCCCCTGGCGAGAAGGGTGAGAAGGGCGGATCGAGCGAAGAGATCGCCTTGCGACAGATCCTCCCCCGAGTCTACATCGATGGTCCTTTCGGTTCCGCCTCTGAGGATGTGTTCAAGTTCGAAGTCGCCGTTCTCTGTGGTGCTGGTATTGGTGTTACACCTTTCGCCTCGATTCTCAAGAGTATTTGGTACCGCATGAACTACCCTCAGGGATCTCGCACAAGGCTAAGGAAGGTATACTTCTTCTGGATCTGCAGAGATTTCGGGTCGTTTGAATGGTTCAGGTCGCTGTTGCTGGCTATTGAGGCACAGGATATCGATGACCACATCGAGATCCATACCGTAAGTTTTATGCTCATCAGCGGCTCTTCGAAATGATGATTTACTAATCATCCCCATAGTACCTTACAGCAAAGATCAAGGCAGACGACGCGACAAACATCATGATCAATGACGCAAACGCTGAACAGGACGCCATCACCGGTCTCCGCGCTCCTACAAACTTCGGTCGACCCAACTGGGACATGATCTTCAAGTCCATCCGCAAGATCCACTCACCTGCCGAGGCTGGTGTCTTCTTCTGTGGCCCCAAGGGTCTTGGTTCTACGCTCCACGTCAAGTGCAACATGTACTCTGAGCCTGGCTTCAGTTTCGTATGGGGCAAGGAGAACTTCTAGATGCCATCACGAGTTTTGAAGAGCGAAAAATGGGGAGAAAGACGAAGGGGCTGGGGTTATACCATTTGCTATATTGAGAGCGAATTGTCACTTATTACTACGGTTGTACATAATTCGCTTGTCTCTTTACACTTTTGGTCTTTTTGTTTGTTAATCTTGAAAGCTGCAAGCGGCTAAAGACACATGTTCAAAGTCTACGATATCCCATAGAATTTCTAATGATGAAGAAAGAATGAATTCCATACGCAAGCGTCTCCACGGCCACACATCTTCGTACTTGCCAATCCAAAGATTAGCCTGATTGTACCCTGGCTCCCTCAGATTTCAGGCATCATACAATCCTACGTGTCCGTAATCACGCCACTCTCATTCATGCATCCAAGCCACCCAAACATCCCGAAACCCTGTGCGCCGCAACACTAAGATGAACTCCACATCGCCTCGGGTAACGGCAATGCTCGGACTCCGCGGGATCTACGCTTCATACCGAGCGATGGGTTTGGGATGGCCCTTGTCAGCGCGTAGCAATTCAGGGTGCAGAGCGGACGGTGTGACGCAAGGTCGGGAGAGGAGACGGTTGTCAAGCTTTGGGTGTCTCGGGAGCCAAGGGCTTGGGGTCTGAGCATGTAAAAGGCTCCAGAGACTAGGATTTGTATATGGGAACTACGTCTTATGCTGTCAGATGAATTGGATATGATGGTGTGCTACGCTAAGCTACAATCGTTTCTTCCATCCCTTCTCTAACCAGTTGTTGATTCCTACAAGTCCCTCTAGTTCTTTAACCCCCGGATTGATACCTTCGCCTACACTTATATCGTGAGCTCCAATAACCCATACGTTGTCCTTCTGCGCGAACTCTCTTGTGCGCAACATCGTGTTCACTGCTTGTTCTGGATCGGCGTGCATGCCTGACTTTGCATAAGGTGGCCTGGCAGTACGTTTCGGCTCTTTGAGCAGGTCCGGGTGATGATAACAGTCGCCGGCCAGCAGTGCAAAGGTGTGCTCGTTCTCATTGGAACCTGATGTCGTTCGCAGTAGCATCATCTGATGGCCCGATGAATGTCCTGGAGCGTCGATAATATACGCTGATCCATCCCCGAAAACATCGTATGCCCGATCAAAAGCGCCGATGCCGATCCACTCGGGCTTTTTGAGATCTACAGCAGCATATTTACCCTTTACCATACCTTCCATGACCTGACCTGCTCTCTTATCGCCTGCTTCTTTCAATATATCATCAGGCACAAAACTCTCTACAATCTTCCGGCTACCATCCACCGGCAAAGTCTCACTCAGCGTTGGAGCTTTTGGATCAGTCGGATAACCTGGAGTTCGATGTACAAGGTCAGCAAGTTTCTCACATGCAGTTCGCACATGGGAGATACCCACCAGGCCTTGCGTATGTACAGCATGTTGGTCCAACCCACATCTCTGCCTCTTCGAATCCAGCCTTAGCCCCATCGCCAACATGGTCAAAGTGCATGTGCGAAAAAATGACTGCCTTGACTTTCTCAGGTTGTTGATCAGCCGATCCATGCTCTTGCAGTATCTCTGCCGGTGACTTCGGTTCGCATTTGAAGTTCGGTAGAGTACCTTCCACAATAAGAGGGGGGAGGTTTTCAAGATCTTTTCGCATGCCTAGATCGAAAACGTATTTATTCCCGGTTGCGGCATGTTCGATGAGGAACACATAGTCTGGAGCATAAAATGTCTTCCTTTTTCTGCTCTCGTCATTGAAGTCTTCTGACTCTTGCGGCTTATCCGGACCGGGGAGCAAGACCATGTCCGTAGGGATGTGAAGACCGCCAGCTTGAATCAGATGGACTTTGCATGTTGCGGTGGAGGAAGGTATAGAATGCCATGGAATTCGGGTTGATGACTCTGACATGGCTACAGTGAAGATGAATTGCTGCTGGTTTTGGAAGCAGCTGTGCGAAATTGCTGTGTTGGAAGACGCTCAAGATGTTAAGCTAGTAAGACATGCCATTGTGTTGATGACGTCAACCGCATGAACACTAGTTTGCTGCTGCACATTGCTTAGAAGTTTGTCCAAAATTATCCTCAAGCTTGACGAAGCGTAAAATTTAGTGTATGGTCTAAATATATACACGATAACATCACATGCTCGAATGCTCCTCCTCGAGCCCATGTACTATCACGAGTACCTTTGCAGACTACACGGCACTGTTGTCTCCGCGTTCGTCTGTTGATCGATCAATACAACAGTGGTATCTCTACACATCCGTTCACCCTCTTCCACCCCAAAACTCCTCCTCAGCCCCCTTCTTTTCTCTGCACTCGTCACATTCGCCTTTGCCCTCTTCGTAAACTACTATCATCTCACTCAAGGGCACATAGCATCGCGCACCTCTACGTGAAGAATCTTGACATGCGCCACATGTTGTGTCTTTGTGTGTCGGCCACTGTACGAAGTCAGTGTATGTCTTGAACACAGTTCAAATTTTCATATCTCACCTCAGTCTCTAGGTTTGATTGCCTGGCACTGACAGGCCCGTTCGGGCGTTGATGTTCTGGTGTGTGAATAGGGGAAACGTGGCCGCATGTATACTTTGTAGGGCGGAGATGGCACATCTTGTTGTGTATCAAAGGTTTAGTATCGTATAAAGTTGTGTTGGTGTTTGGTTTTCGTCGGAGTTATGGCACGGTTGGTGAGCCGTGGGTTCAGTTGTGCTAAGACGGTGCTCTTGCTTATTGTTGAAGACTAAGAAGTGAGGAGTGCTAGAGTAAGGAGGTGAAGGAGTGAGTCGACATTTCTACAACTCGGCAGATTTGGGAGGGTTTGCATCCGTGTGAACGATCGTGGTCGCTCGGGCTCCTTCACAGCTTCAGTACCGCACATCAATTGGCGTAGCTGTAAGCGCTTTGTGACGCAGACTTGTGTGTTGTGAAAAGAATGCAACAGTGTTTATAGAATGTACTATGTGTATAACCCCAACAACAATCAGTGCCAAACGCCAGATCAAGTTCAATACAGCGTTCGCTCCATCCGCCTGCGCAAACAAGCCCAAAGCAGGACATGTACACTGGAGATGAAGGAATAGATATGCCAGCAAGCCAAGGCCTACTTGGCAAGGATCGGCGCCGCCTTTCCGGCTTTTTCTGCTGCGATGTTTGCAAGCTTTTGCAGTTTTTCGGCGCGTACTTGGCGGAAGTATCGGAAGAGGAGAATAAAGGATAACTCGATACGCTCTTTGGTCATCATGAGGAAACCTTGGACGAGCAGACCCTTGAGGATCTGGGGTCCGATACCCTTGAAGAGTGCTGCGGGACCTTCGTGTTGTATGATGTATTGCATAACTTCGGTGAAGGACTTGAAAGGCTTGCCATTCCTGGCTGGCGGGGGTTTTGATTGAAGCCCGACTTTTGCGACGATAAGGGGTTGTGTTGCGATTGTGGCAAGAGTCTTAGAAAGAGCCCCGATGACTAAAACCTGTTAGCAGCTTTACTTGAGCAATAGTAGTAGTCTTGACTTACGGAACGCCTCTAGGGGCTTCAGCGTCTTCTTCCCCGGGTACAAGACCTCCCGTAATCGCTGATAAGCTCCGTATGTGATGGAAGGGTTGACCACAAGCACCAGACTAGCCCTGAGACCTCTCCAGAGACCAGTCCAGCCATCTTCGCCATTGACCACGTCCATAGCCGTAGCGATCATTCCCTTGCGCTCTGCCTTGCTCATGGTCTGTTGCCTCGTCGTTACGACGGCGACTGGAATTGTGAAGAGCTGGGCGAGCGCTCCCGCAAGCGCTCCCAGAGAGAGCTCGACTGGGGTACTCGGTGATGCTTGGAGCGTGCGGTTCGCCATGTAGAGACTTCGTACAACAGTATACCAGTAGAAGTAGGCGAAGTTGGTCGATGCTACACCGAGCAGAGAGCCTCCTATGCCAGCATACAGTCCAGCCAAACCCTCTTCTGCAAAGACTTTTTGCAGCGCGTCGAGCGCACCATCGTAGTGTTCGCCATCGGCGGGATTGGCATCGTTCGAGTTGGGGGAGCGCTTGACCTGGACCTGTAGCCGCGTCTTGATCCTGAGGTGTTGTTAGTATTTCTCTCGGTTGCATACAATGTCTCAGAATATGTGCAACTTACAAGTCCAGGGGATAGACGAGCGTGTTCGCGATGACAGCACCGGCGGCGCCTGCGACAGCGTTACCCCATGGCGGTAGAGTCTCTACCTTGGACTGCCCGGCCATGGTAGTGGTGGTCGAGAAAAGTTGCTAAGGCTTGGCCTGAGTGTTGCGACTACGGAGAGCGTGACGGGCAGAAGGGTATGGTCGTGTGGAGGAAGCTATCGATTCTCACTATCTCATTATGACCGCGATAATCTGAGGACTGGAGATAGCAGCATCGGGGGTTAGAAAAAGCGGGCAGGGGACGTTCATGGTGCCCGCAACGCGATAGCGCTGTCGCATGCATGGCTGACCTCTCCCGAGGTTCCAGAGGCCGAGGTTCAGGGTCGGATGACGTCTTACCCTGCTCCATTGGGCCTTCCTTCACCGTCGCCATTGTTGATCGTTTCGGTGAGCGCAGGCAAGCCGCCGTGGGCTCGGCATACCTTACACGTGAATCAGAGACGTTTCGGCTCGTTCACCTGCTATGAACCTGCATTTCCTGCTGCAGCTGGCAGTCGCAACAGGCGGTTGGCAGGAACGTGCGTCGCGCTAAAACGCTCAGCTCCATTGCAAACAACAGAACACCATCACGACTTCTTGATGCGCCCTTGACTCAAGTCCCCCAAGTTAGTCGCATCGTTATGGCACGAAGCAAGTAGCTTCACTGTCCGCTAATCGTATTGGTCAAACTTCTTTAACCACACCCCGTTTCAGGCCACTCACGATGGCTGACCGGGCCGCTCAGCTTGAGGCTTGTAAAGCTGCTGCAAGCGTATGTGATACTCGCAACTAACCTCTCGTGGCAGTAACAAGTTCTTCATTGTAGCTCCAACTAATCAAGCTACCAGAACTACCGCTCCCAGCTTCAGACAGCCGCTACCAAAGATGAGGCGCTCACCCTGGCCATCAGTGTGGCTGAGAATCTAATGAAAGCGCTCAAACTGTCGTCGAATCCAGACGAAAGGAAACAAATTAAGGCCCAATGCGGAGAGATGATGAATGTTGCCGATCGCATCAAGAAAACAGAAACATGGACACCCTTAGTCGCACCACAGCCCTCAAATGCAAGAGACGAGCGGGTCGGTCGCTGGGCTGCCCAGGTCGCTGGAGGTACGACTCCCGGTACAGCCTTTGGAGACTCTACTACTCGTTCGAACACATCACGTGGTGATCTTTCTTCAACTACAGGGCCTGTCAGCGGTCCAGCAGCTTCAGGTAAATCGTCAGCTTCTTCTTCTTCATCAGCATTCATTCATCATTCAGATGTTTCTTCAACAGTTCCTTCTATCAAGCAAGCTATCTATGAAGATTCCATGCCACTTATTGATCTTTCGGATGATCCTGTTCCAGTCGACACACCAAGCGCAATCACTGATGTATGGCACGAAGATAGCTCAAACGCCAAGATTGGCCACGATCACCACACAAAAGACTATCACAATGTGGAACTAGATCCATCTGCGACGCCACACTTCCCTATTCCACAGCCTCAGCCGAAGGCACCTGCTCCGCAACCAGCGGACCTAACACCATCGACTGTACCCCACGCTCAGATACACAGGCTACGGGAGCCAGTTTCAAGCAGGAAGTTGCCCGCAAAAGAGAGCATCATCTTATTGAAGGCTTCCATAGTCAATGGCTTCAAGTTTCCGCCTTGGGACAAAATGCCATCTGCACATGAATTTACATCGGAAGAGGGCGTGGCTCCCTATACGTACATCACCCAATGCTCGAGAAGGGGGGTTTCAAGACACTGACAACAACAGGGACACCCGGGATCTGAGTCTGTCGCCATACCAGCAGCAATTCTTCTTGGGTTGGCTACGCGCCAAAGATGCTGTCCCGCCGCCCTCGCAGTTCCCCAATGGCAGGGCTGGCATCGGGCCTTTGATGTCCAGCACGAGGCCCCTAGATCTTGTACAGGATGCAGCTTCGGATTGCTCAGTGGTTACGAGCTTATGTGCTGGCATTGCTCGCTCTGAACGGGGTCACGACGAGGTTTGTCGTGCGGAAAGGTCAGCGTCTTTGGTACTAACTGCGACAGATGCTCACGAACAAGATATACCCATACGATAAGCACCTTGGAAAGCCAGTAGTCTCATCTAACGGCAAGTATATTGTACGGCTTAATTTCAATGGTTGTTGGAGAAAGGTGGTCATCGACGACAGGTTACCGGTATCGAGTACCCATCGGCTGCTGCATGTCATCGATCGCCGCAATCCAGCGCTCTTGTGGCCGGCATTACTCGAAAAAGCATATCTCAAGGTCCGCGGTGGCTACGATTTCCCTGGAAGCAGTTCATGCAGTGATCTTTGGGCGATGACCGGCTGGATACCAGAACAAGTGTTTTTGCAAGAGTAAGTTATTTCCTACTTCGTATCTACGTCTTACCATACTGAGTATTATAGGGCGGATACAGTTCCAGAGCAGCTATGGAAGCGTATATACAACGCTTTCATGTATGGCGATGTTCTGGTTACTGCAGGTACTGGGAAGATGTCGACTAGACAGGAGCGCGAACTCGGTCTTGAAGGCCAACACAGCTACGTCGTGCTGGATATGAAAGAGACGGATCATGACCGACTGTTGCTCATCAAGAACCCTTGGGTCGAAGGCAGTGGTTGGCGTGGCCCTCGTCCTTCGGCTGTGACGGCCATGGATGCGTCTGCGTCTATCTCCAGTGGTGGCTCTAGTAACAGCCTCGAGAGCTATCACAGGGACAGTGTTCCGACTCAGGATCGACCGCACCCAACGACG